ATTTTTATATCTACCAGGAAACATGACAAAGAATTATTTGTGAATTTTAACTTTGGAGCTCAGGTAGAAAAGTTAAAGTTGTTCAGGTACACAGGGCTCAAAAGGTTAATATGGATTTGTAACCCTTACCACCTGGCCATACAAAAATATTTTAATGGCCAAGTGGAATTTATTTTAGTTTGACTTTTTTTTTTTTTTTTTTTTTTTTTTTTTTTTTCTTTAAAAATGGTATATCAACCTCAATAGGTTATTTAACACCAGCAAGAAGACTTTGAGGATAAATCTGAGTAGAATATGTTTGTAGATCAGTTTTATACGCCCCCGTCCCTGCCTCAAACATGTTGCTGGCATTTTTACTTTAAAAATTTTTTTCACTTTCCTAGTGATTTAATCCCAGTTTGGAGATTAACTATTTAGCCATAGCTGGGACCCTAACAGGTGCTGCCACCCTGGCTAAGAGTGGACCTGAGAATAACAGCATTAGGGGGTGGTTCTATATTTTTTCAAAACCTCCTGGTCAGAGGCCTTGCTACCAGATGTAGTTTGTCATATCCAGGACACAGTTTACTTTGCTAATTAAGTTTTTTTTTTTTTTTTGTGAGAGATAGATATATATAGATAGATCTAAATAGATATATATATATATATATATAGATCTAGAGAGATATATATATATATATATATATATATATATAGATATTACATTATTTTTATTAACACCAGCACTTAGGGATATATATATATATATATATATATATATATATATATATTTTTTTATTTTTTTATTTTTATTTTTTTTTTTTTTTTTTTTTTTTTTTTTTTAGCACAATATAGAGCATGAAATGCAGCAAATTCTTAGTCTCATCAAAGATGCCTTCCAAGATTTGAACAAGTATTAAGAAACAAGAAAGTTTAGTAAGAAACAAAGAATTCTGGTGAATTTTCTTAGATGGCAAGATGAGGCAACAGATGTAGTTCTACAGAAAGATGCTGAGAATATCTTACAAGTTTTACTTATCAATCAATTTGCCTAATTTTAAAGAGAAATACATTTATTTTTTGATAAGTTACATTATTTGATGTGCCTGCTATAGATCTAGAGATTATTGATAAAATCCAAAGAATTTGCAATATGATTGGTTCTGACCTAGCATCACTTTCCCACTGCCGTAAGGTGACTTCCCTGTAATAAATACTTTATGGTAACTGGACTGATAAACTTTCCCCTCTGGTACCTAGACTTCAGGAATTTAAGTGCAGTACTAGATTGTTGATGTAGGTCTCATCATTTTACAGTTGAAATGGCTAGATGTAACCATAAATTCTATAAGTTTCTTCTATTGTGGAACTCACTTCCAGCTTTTTGTTTCCCCACTCCACTTTAACATTATCTCGTGTCTTAATTTATGTTCTTTTATTGTCCTATCGCCTTGTTAGTATTTCTCATTCTCTAACACATTCAGTAACCTCTTGCATCTTAGTGTCTTTATTGCCTATGTCCTCAGATCCTGTTGTGCAATATATGGACTTATATGCAGGTCAATAGCAGAACTGAAGTATCATATACAAACATAAATATAACTGAATGCATTTGTAGGGTCCTCCTGTGAAAATTATGTATGTCTGTCTCTATCGGTATAAACGACAAAGTACTGCAATTTAAGCTTTTTATTTAATTTTTCTTGTGTTCGAGCAAGTGTTTTCTCTTTTGGAAACAAAGTATACAGAAACTGCTGCAATGTTATATAATTCCTTAAGGAACTGTTCCTGATCAAACCGAATTCATAAATAATTACATCAGTCACACGACTACATGCATATCCAGACGCCTTACGTTACGCCTATCTGATCACGTTTCTATGAGAATCCATTTACATGCCCATGCACAAGACTCCATCTGAAACAAACTAGTAAAAAAAAGATACAAATATAATAACCTCATCCACATGTTAAAAAAAATATTAAAAATAATGGAAGCCTAAATAATAAAAGCCATTACTTGATATTAACTATGAACATGGCCACAGTGTGCTGTGTTAGGAAAATAGAACATCCTTATAACTCTAAAAGCATACACACAACCCATACACCCAATTAAATTGAAAAAAAAAAAAACAATCATCCTTGATAATGGCTAAAAGTATAGCCAAAAATGCTTGAAATTATAGAACATTTGGACAGTTTGTCCAAAAAACACTTTTTCGGACACGAAAAATTAAATAAAAAAACTTAATTATAGTACCTTGTCTCATGTCTTTAATGAAACATGTATAAATGAAGGATTGCTGCCTATATACACTAACAAAACTTTTCTTTGCCAAGGCATTTTAAATTTTAAGACTACTCATGAAATGAATAAATTTTCAATTTTTGTTTTTTATATTTTTATTAATTTAATTATTTTAAGTTTTGATTTAAATTTATGATCATGTATGCTGGCTTGAGAAAGTATTTCTTATAATAAAATTTTATATTGGTGTGAGTCAAGACAAGTGGGAATTAGAAAATATTTGGTAACCTCGGGTAAATGCATGAAAACATAGCTTTTAAATTTTATTTTATTTACAAATAAAACTATTCATCACATCCTGTTTATCAAAATTTAACAAGTTTAACCCATTAACAGAAGTTGATTGTGTGTATATGTATATATAACACATCCGCAGATAGCTATTAATGTCAACAACTGAGCACAAATAGTTTTTAATTATAAAATTAGTCATTAATGTATATTACCCATAACTACATGTACAAGAATGTCATTTTTGATAAGTTAAAAAATAATCATAAATGTGGAAAATTCCTTAAATATAGCTATTTGTGGTGTTATAATGCTTATTGCCTAAACAATAATAATACTGAATAAATTTTCTTTAAATATTAAAGTATATTTAATCACATCTCACTGATAGCTGTTGTAATCTTTAAAATAACTTTTCCTTCCAGTTTCTGTGCAGGTATGCCATCCTAAAAATAAAAAAAAAAAATGAATACCTAAATCTATATTTCAATTAAATTGAATATTTTTATATTTACTATTAAAGAATTAATTACTCTCATTACTCTTATACTACTCTTATTGTTCTAATTACCTTTTAATATGCTGTATTTTTTCAGGACAAGAGCAATCCTGTTTCTCTACAATTTCTTGTCTTGTAACTTTAAGTCTTATCCATTTTACCATTCCTGTTTGTCTTTGATCCCTGTCGTAACCATTCACCTAATCTTGGCTCTAATGGCTCCAGTTTCCTGTCATTTGTAGCTTTTTAATATGACCCAAACATTTTGGCTCTTTCTGTTGGCAGTTTCTGTTTTTGAAACTATTTCTCATATACTGTTATCAAGTCAACAGAATCACATCTGTTGCTTAGTCTCTTCATCTGAGAGATTGTCCAGTATTCAATGTCCTACACCCCCCCACTGCAATTTTTCCCCCCTTTTTGATATGAATTAAATTTGAACAAGGGAATGACTCCTATCCAAAATATGGAAGGAGAAAGCCAGAAGATGGAGGTCACATCGGCAAGATCATTGAGTAATATTGAAATGCATCCATTTTTCTCTACAAATTATAACAATGATTTTAAAATCAATCTTCATTACTTACAAAGAAATGTGTGACATGGAAGATGTGGGTAATTTGGCTAGTGCAAAAATAAATGTATACAAAGGTGACAATCTTAAACATCTTAAAGGAAACCAATGCAGAAAGAAATGCTTTAAATATGTACATACCAGTGATGCTATCATTGGGGTTACATTTAGCAGAATAAGAAAAATGAGCATGTGCTTTATTGTATCAGTTCTGGTGATACCTAAGGGCAAACAGTTACCGTTTTTTTTTTTTTTACCATTTCCTAATCTAAAATAAGATGACAAAGGGAAAGTGAAACAAGTTCTCTACTGTGGTAATGGAACATTTATATTATATATAATCCAACACTAACACTCAAGTTTATTTACTAAGTATTGTCATTTAGGTAACTTATATCTGTTGTTTCTCAATCCTGAACAGGCTCATTACTGTTTGGCGTTTCTTGTAGAAACTAGTGTTTTCAGCATGGTGGCAAAATTCCAAAAAAATTTTGCCAATTTTCTTGCATGGTGAAAATGTCATACTTCTTCACTCGATCAAAATTACTTGCCAATGTTTGCAAACGGGACAACTAAAATAATGGTCTTTATTGCTTTTTGTGGCATTGTTTTGCGTGTCAATATTTTCCAAGTTTTTGGAACTACTTAAATATACTGGTCCAATAGTGATTTTTCTAAGCGCTGCTTAGATGTGGCACAAAGCCAGAAGTATGGAGCACCCAGTGAGGATCAAACTCACTAGTCAGTCGTAATTGTTCTAGCGAGACGAGCTTGCTAACCATTACACCACGCTGAGGTGCTCATATACTGGTCCAATAGTGTGTGTGTTGTGAGGGTGTAAATAATTTTTGTTGATGGATTTGTTTTCTACTGCTTATCAAGCTGTTGCAGATTATTTGAAGCCAAAAAATATTTCTGGCTTTTTTAATAAGGGTTTAGTGATTGGTTTGGTTTGTGGAAGCCTGTTGGAGTAATGGATAGCAGCTCAAGTTGAAGAATAATCGGAGAGCTGATTTTGAATTCCAGTTGAATCCATTACATTCACTTACATGCTAATACCCTTGGGAAAGGTGTGAATCCTCTACTTCTCCCCACAACTATGGATAAATAGCAGGACAGACCAGGTTCTATAGTCTTGGATGGTAACTGGTCTACCGCATAAAGAAATATCAACCTACTGCAGGAAAAAAAAATCCGCCTCGTCAGTCATGTATCGAAAGATATGATTGCCTAAGTCTGTATCACACATGGCACATAACTGACTGATAAGTCTAACTAATTAACCCATAGATGGGGAGAAGTGGTTCTATACCTTTCCGAAGGGTATTTGTCTGTAACTGACACAAAGGGAATTTGAACTAGGGTCTCTTCTTAACAATTCCAATTACACCAGCCACACATCCAAGCTTACAGCACCTGGTACTCCCAAGCAGTCACTCATTTAGGTACTGACAAAGTTCAATGTTGCTTAACTTCAGTGATCATATGGGAACTGGTGTCTCAATGTTATTTGGCCATAAGCCAATCTTTGTAGATTAGCATTTCTTAAACTGCAACTCTTGTACAAATCAAAAAAATATTTTAAAATTGGGGTCTTGTTCATAATATAAATATAGTGTAAGATTGATCCCTGATTTATTTTTTTTTTTTTTTTTTTTATAAAGTTATTGCAACTTACATGTTATTTACAAATGTTAAGTTTAAGTCTGCTTTTGTCAGTCGTATCTGCATATGAAAACACTTTTTATTTTATTTTACAAAAAAAGATTCTTTAATTAAAGAACAGGTATATACAATTGTTTCATTTTAAAATATTTTAAACAATTGTTTAGCCAAATATTCATTTCAGTCATTTAAAAGCTAGGTGTAAAAATTTTAAAAATACTACCATATTTTAAATTAAAGAACAAATTTACATAAAATAAAAATGTGCATATATCAATGACTTAATGACTTCAATGCAGGAAACCTTTTAAATCAATGGTTCCCAACCGATTTTGGGCCATGCCCCACTTTGGTATTTCTAAAATTATGGTGCTCCCCACTCCTGTAATATTTAATTCTTACATATTCAAAATTTTACTGCAATTTGTGAAGGAAGCAAACTGAATGCTCACACATGCTAATTTGCCAACAAAACATGGGCTCTTCCAGCAACATGCATCACTCCCTCTCCTTTGTTGACCGAGATACGCAAGTGTGGGGAGACGGAAATACCCTGTCTTCCAATTATACATGTATATATATATATATATATATATATATATATATATAAAATATTATTATGTATGCATCTTATATATTAACACTCTCGGTCTCACTAGAAAACAATTCACTGTTAATAACTCATTCGGGAGGGGGGGGCGTTTTTTTTTGTTTTTTTAATTCTGGCAAATGTCATGGTTTCATGGTCCAAAGAGTGTTAGTCTACAAAGATTATTCCCTGAAAAATGCTTTTTCTTACTTGACCTGCCAATTTGTGCAGAACCAGAAAAGGGACATCAAGTGAAGAAATAATTCACTCTTGCAATGATGCTTATGACCATATCACTTTGAAACACTGGTTCTTGTCTGATCACTGAGGTTAAGCAATGTTCAGCCTGGTCAGTACCTAGATGGGCAACTGCCTGGGAAATACTGGGTGCTGTAAGCTTGGATGTGCAGGTGATGTAATGGATAATGGCTCAATTTTGGAGAGCCAAGTTCCAATTTCAGTTAGGTTCCTTGGGGAAAGGTAGAAATCCACATTTTCTCCACTCCCCCACTATGGATTAATTTAATCAACAAATTCAAAAAACTCTTATAATCTAAAAATATTTTCTGGCTTTAAATAACCTGCAAGTGGTTGCTAAGCCTTAAAAGAAGTAAAGTTCTGTATATTAGGCATCACGAGACAAGAATATTTTTTCTTTTACTTCTACAATAGCATGCAAACATCTTCAGATGCTTTAAAATAGCGTAAATTTCTAATAATTGTCTCTGGTAGAAAATAATGGTGACGCTAACCTCTGTCACTGAAGTGAAGTCATGCAGAAGTTAGTTTGGGATTAAAATGTTTTGCTAAACATTGTGTGGGGGCTGAAAATCTTTCAGCCAACTATTAAAATTTTTAGGATAAAACTTAATTCTCAACTCCCCTCCAGCCCTTACCTAACATGAATGAAAGTACCAGTGACTCCAAGACATTTCTTGTTGCAAATCTTTTTATGTGCTGTGTCCTTAGAGGACATAGGCGATCACTCTCCACTTCTCCCTATCCCTTGTAGCTCTCAATAAGTTTTGTCCCTCTGCCACCTCCTCCAGACCACGTTCTGTCATCCACTTGTTTAAGCCCGCCAGGTATGTCATGTGTTGTTTTCTCTTGTCTCTCTTTTCCTCTGTTCAACCTGTGAGTATCAGATTCTCCAGGCCCTCCTTCCTCATTACGTGTCCCAGAAATTACATTTGCCTCTTCCTGATGTTAAGTATAAGCTTCCTCAAAATTTGCATCCTCTTCAAAACCATATCGTTGCTCACACATTCATTTCATGATATCCTTAGCATCCTTCTGTAGAACCATGCTTCTGTTGCCTTGAGTCTCTTCTTCATCTTTGAGGAGACCATCCGACATTCGCTGCCGTAAAAGAGAACAGATGTCACCTAGTAGCTCAGTACTCTTTTCTTTGTGACCAAAGAACTCCTGCTGTCTCACAGTACTCAATCCCGCTTTTGAAATGCATCCTTATATAGGATTGTGAACATGGAACACAGTAGGTAAGTTAGAGTTGATGTAGTAGAAATCCTGACTTGATATTATTTGAATGTTGTTGTTGAGTGTTACATTGCTATATGTATTTGTAGTGTAGGAGAAATCCTTTTCTCTTTTTTTATATAGAAAACAAAATGAATTGAAATGTACAACAATAACATAATGAAAACTTAAGATATATTTTGACATAAATAGCAAGAACTTCAATTTTCTTTTTGTGATGTGAATTACAGAATATTGGTAGGGAGTGTGTAAAAAAAAAAAAAAAAATGTTCTCAGTGTCTCTTTTTTTCAAAAGTCAATGCTTACTTGGTTTGGTTCTGAGAATTTTGTTTGTGAGAATTGTGTTTGAAATCATCTGTTTTTGATCCTCCAGGGTTCTGGCAGATGTGTTTTTACTGACTACTACTACTTGTCTACTACTATGGGTACCCTAGTCTACACTAGTCTATTCTACCTTCTTGTGGTGGAAGGGTCATTTTTATAATGATGAGGGTAGGATGATGAAATATCCTTCTTTTCAATCATCTTGATGACAAGGTTATTTTTAGAATGATGAAATATCATTCTGGACCATAACAAATGCTTCACTGATACTGTCACCTGATGTTTCTCATTTATAAAAATAAGCAATAACTTTTTACTTCAAGTATATTTGATCTTTATTTACTCATAAAAGTCACTCCTTTTGCAACATCAGCTGCTTTTATCAGTTCCTTATTTTTTAAAATTGTAGTTATTGTTGATTTAGGCATACCATACTGCACAGCAAGATCTGACACATGAATGTCATTTTTGTATTTTGCGAAGATTTCATCCTTCAATAAAATTGTTTTCCCTCAACTTTTCTTTTTCCTTTATCAGTATTACTGCAAGCTTTCTTTGGAGCCATGACTAAGGGCTAATGAAGAGAAAAAAAAGACACAGTACAATAAAATTTGAAAAGGAAAGCACAATACATGAATGTATGCAACACGACAGTCCACTCATCACTGACTACTGCTACAGATGCCGGAGTATATCTACTGTTCTCTACTCTATTGACTCTCTTATGGTGGAAGGGTCATTTTTATAATGATGAGGGTTAGAATGATGAAATATCCTTATTTTTTTATCATCACTGATGACAAGCTTATTTTAGAATGATGAAATATCCATCAATCTAGACCATAACAGACGTTCAGCTGTACTTACTTATTGGCTCACTCACAGGTAAGTAAAATAAATGGTTTTAATTCCCAGGAAGCTCATAATTCAAGACTTGCACTTTGATTTTAAATAACTAATCTATTTTCTAATCCCAGCACCAATGAAGACTTTCAAACGGGGAAATGTACTTGTGCTCTTCAAATCTTAATCAGTGTACAAGTGCTTCAGCCATTAAGCTCTCAACTGGCACGAAGCTGAGTTTAATATGGAAAAAATATTCTTAGTGGGTGAGACTGGTTAGCTATTTGATAGGCGACAAGAAGTCTGAAAGACTAGCTTGAAGATCACTGCTTTTATGGCAGGAATGGTCAAATTTGCATATACCATGTTTCCATATTTATCTGCATAAATTCAGATGTACTATACAAAGCCTGGACTTCCATTAATTCTTATACATACTTAAAATATATAATTTCTTGATTTTAATACAAAAATGAGAGAGAGTTATTACTTTCCTTAATGACTTTTCCAGTCTGTCTTTGCCTTTACCAAATGTAATATGTAGAGTGAGTGGTCATGGTTAAATAAAGATAAATGCAAATGTCAGTGTGTCACACTTTTTCAACTTTACTCTTAGAATATGTAGCCCAACATATCATACCATCTTGGAATCAGGCAATCTCTGAGAGCAAATTAAAAAAAATCTGGGCTGGATCGTGACCCACAATCCTGAAATTCGGGATTCCCAAGTTATCATTATTGTGATTGTTTTCAGTTAATTATTATTATTTTTTTATGTGATTTTTTGCAATAAAACTTTTTGTACAGTAACAATTTTTATACCTTGGAAATAAATTTGGGAATAATTGAAATCCATTGACAGCCACCCAAGAAAAAAAATAATTGTTTGTATAGAAAGCAAAGAGCTACGTACATCAAATTGTTTTGAAATTAAGTGGTGAGAGAAGAATTATCATTGAACTTTTAAAAGGTAAGTTTAGGTATTAATGTAATACTTAAATGCAGCAACCAATTTTTGAGTTCCTCTATAGTTTATTGTTGCCTATCGCATTTACTCCTCCCTACCTTTTGTGATGAAGGCCCAATTAGGTGCCGATATATATATATATATATATATATATATATATGTATATATATATATATATATATATATATGTATATATATATATATATATATATATGTGTGTGTGTATATAGATATATATATATATATGAGAAAACAATATATAAATCTTTATATGAAAAATTTTAGAAAAATCTATAACAAAGTGTAAAGAATTTTTTGTGTGATGTATTTCATCATTTAGGACTTCATCAAACTAAAATGATATTTACATTGGTATGAGTACATTGATAGGAGTACACATGTGCATGAAGCAGGGCAGATGCTGAAATTTTAAATTTAAGATTTTTTTTTTTGTTTTTTAAATATGTTTGTATATAGTCTAACCAATTCCATTTAGTTTCTTTTTTTATCACTTTTGTTATTAAATATCCAACACCATGACAACAATATATATATATATATATATATAATACCATTTTTGAATGAATTACAGATATGAACATGAATTTTCACTTATGAAATTGATAAAAAATACTAAATGAAATTGTAACTTATCAAAATTTAAATATTCTCTGATTTCAGTAACTGAATATTATGTTGGTTCCAATCCAATTGTGCGAATGATTATTTATTATCTGTCACCCCCCATGAGTGACTACACTATAGGTAGTAACTATCTATAAGTAGCTATAAGTCAATGGACTACAGAGACTAGATCTTTTCCTGCTGTGCTGGTTAAAAGCTCTGCCTCTGGGCAGAGAGGATCCCCAGACAAGGCTATGTTGAAGGGCAGAGTCCTCAGGAAACAGCTACCTGACCCCATTTTATACCGGGTCTATGGGGAATTTCTGGCCGAGCCTAAGGGCTTGGATTACCCCACATTAAACTCAGCCTTGTGCTATGTCCTACCTCGTGGGGAGGTTGGTAAATATTGACTAGCTGGGATCTGTTGAGTACAACTCAGACTTATGCAAGAACTATCAACCTTCCAATAGTAGCACTCACTACTGGATTGACTTGCGATGACCTTGTGCATAACTGTTACCTTTATTCTTATTGTACTGGTTTTGTACAATAAACCTTTACTTATTTTACCCACCTTGCTTTTCAAGTATATATTCCTATTAGCACAGAATATAACATTATTATATAAACAAACAATTGTAGCATGAAGCCAAAGGGGAAGTGGGAAGAGGCTGGTCTACACTAATTATCCTAAACCTAGCTAATCTGATTCCTGACCCATTCATTCAATTGTGAGAATGACTGCAAAATATTTTCCCTTCCCCAATTTATAGGCAGAAACACACAAATGCATGCTGGGATTTCTTCCTCATCAATAAAACAAGCTAGTTCTCAATTTCATATGACTCGGTCCCAGTTTATCTTGTCTTGAATTTGGAGCTTGCTCTTGTGTGTCAACCTCAATTCTTACTTTGTGAACTTTTTGCCATGTTACTGTTGCTTTGCCTTATTACTGTTAATTTGCCTTGCATATATTGTTTACTTGCTTTATATTATTTTTTACCCTGTTCAGTTCTTTTATTTTATTGCTTATTTTTTAATAATCTTCTGTTAATTCTGTTTGTTGGACAGTTCTGTGATTTATTTCATACTAGCTTATAAGCTACCCTATTGGGCAGCATTTAAGCTAGCTAGCTCCTGTG